TCCCACTGAAATGTGAGAGAGCTCAGGCCAGCCAGGTGCCTGGGTGTCGCTGTCTTTTTCTAAGACTCCTTACAGATCACTCGACACTTACCCTATTGATTTTTATCCATTTCTTTCCATTTTGCTCCACGCTCCCCTATAAGACTAACCACAACAGTTGGAGCTACTGTTCTATAACTGAAGACAGAGGAACAGATCAAACTCTGGGAAGGTGAGAAAACAGACAGCAGAAATGAAAGTGGTAAATCTCTAATGTTAGAATCTCCAGCCAATTAATCCCAGGGCATGTACTTGCTTTGGGAAAGTGAATCAACTGTTGAATGATGACCTCCTGAGGTTTTAAAAGCCAGTTTTGGAAAGAAGAGGAAGGAAAAGAAAAAAAAAAAAAAAAAGATTGCCACAGAGCTTCTAGGCTGACATCTAAGGCTTAACTCTAGGCTAGCCATTACATTGTCCCTGTTTCATCTACCACCAAAAAGACCTTGCATCTTCCAGAGTTTTGCTTCATAAGACTACAGCCTGGCAAAGAAGGCAATTGCACAGTACCGAAATAATACTAATGCAGAATATACATGAACAGGGAGGGGACCACTGATCTGTTATTTCAGTCACGCCTGCACCGGGTATGCTGATTTGGCAAGTAAAAGTGCAGATGCCAGACCCACCATAGCTGCCTCTGCATGTCACACAGGACTCAAACAAGTGGAGAATCAAGTAAATGTGCTCAGAAGAAAAAAACCAAAAAAACCAACCAAACAAACAAAAAACCCCACACATGCTGAGATAAGCTTTTATGGAAATAATATCCTATCTCTGATTTTTCTGGATACACTGTGAAAAGAAAACTACTGTCAGGTTGTTGAGAATAAGGAACTAGGACAAATGGCCAGTACTGCTTGTTTATTTTAAACAGATGCCCTCTACCATCATTTCAAAATGAGGAAGATAATCCTGTCTGTTCAGCCTTCTGTGAACAGTGGTTTAGAGACGCTGCTGCACTAGAATGTTAAAGTAAGTTGCTATCGCATAACTTTCTCAATTAACACTATGGAACAGATATCCCAAGGAAAGGCTGCCTGGAAACACCTATTTAATGGATATATTCTCACATGCACTTCCAACTAAACACATTTTCCGCTAAGTAAATCTTCACATACATCAGTCCTGTTTGGGGGAGTTCTGCTCCTAAGAAACACTCTGTGAAACCCAATGCCAGGATGACAACACACTTTACATCGTGGGCTCTCAGCCTCCCCCCAAAGCAGATGTAATGCAAGTCACGTCAGCTTCTGTTAGCACAGGTGGACGCAGACATGCCACAAGGTGCCCCAGCGAGATGCCCCACACAGTTGGTAAACCAGCCCTTTTGTTCTTAAGAGCTTAGCCTGGCAAAATTGAGCTGGAATAAGTGAAATCCGCACTAGAAATAAGCTGTGGGCAAAGTCCCTGCATCAGTCAAAGCGCTTCTGGTACAGTCGTGGCCAATCAGTAATCATGACGTTGTTGCCAATTCACAGGCTACTCCAAGCTCAATGGAGCCATTAACTAGCCCACAAATAGAGCGTTATTTCTGGTGATATTCATTAGGCACGTGAGAAAACAGGAAAAATGTGGTGCTTCAAAATAAAATGAGGCAGAGGGGATAACTTGAGACTGGACCAACATCTTGCTAATCTGGATGATGTATTTGTGTTTTTTTTCTAGTTTTGACAGTGGATCCTACATGCTAGGAATGAGAATAGTTACTTATCTGAACATGTAACGAGAATAACTTTGCTCAAGTTCAAGATACCGATTTTTCTTAAGTAGAAGACAAAAATACTCTAAAAAAAAAAAAAAAAGTCTCTCACCCAGCATGTGAAGGTAACAGTGAAATGAGAGCATCAGGAAGAAAGTAAAGGAAATAACAGACAGTTGGTTCAGCTGAAATAAAAGCTAGTTCAGTGGCTGAACTGCACTAACTCTTTCAGAGATTTGTACATTGTAAATGCATGGCTTCATTAGCACTTATGTACCATGCAAATACATAAATAAGGTGTCCTGCCTCTCTTCCTTACTCTGGGTCGGTCCCAGATTAGGATGCTGAAGTTGTAAATTCCAGAGGAGAACGCTTTGGGTCTGTAAATAAATCCGTGGGTTTGGTGTGATAGTAACAGCAGAGCAGTCACGACGGCATGACAACCAAACTTGGAGGCCACCTGGAAGCTTGTCACAGCTGTTGTTTACTACAGATCTTTGCAGAAAAAAAATCATCTCCATGGGGAGCAGGGAGCTGAGGGTACGAAGACTCAGAGGAAGCATGCTGGAGGGGCGGAGGGCACTGAGGAGCAGGAGAAGACCTCAGCTTGAAAAATAACCACGTGGTTCATCTACTGCTTTCAATAATACTTCAACTTTTGGGTCGATTTCAAGGTTTCATTTCTTTATGACAGCTCCCACATTTAGGGATGAAGTCCTCTGGTCTCTCTGAAAATCACCCGTGTCACCCATTTAGGCAACGCGTACATCCCCTTTGGGAGCTGACATTATCCCACTCTCTTACCCTTGATTATTCACCAGAAAATAAAAGCTAAGGTAAAAATCTAAATGATGCTTAATCAGTGTGTCATTGTCATACGAAATAACGAGGTCAAGTTAAACTTTCTGCGTCTTTCCACCCCTCTGCTTGACCTCTGTCTTCTACAAAAGCTATAGCCGTGTCTACACTCAGTCCCCAAGTCAGCCAAGCACGCAATCGGCACGTGGCTGCGTGGGAGACAAAAGCCTTCTGGGTTTTCTCCCCACCTGTACCAAACTAGTCAGAACTGAACCACGTGGGATTCTTACTAGAATTTCTGGGGACGAACTGGTTAACATCTCCTTTCTCCATTTTGCGTTTACTAATTATCACTTCATTTAGCCCTTATATTAGTGCAACAAAAAGCAGCTGTCAGGCCAACCCTGCTCAGTCCAAGTGACCTTGTGTTCTTGTTCGTGTTTACCACATAATCAGCAGGGAATTCTATTTTCAAAATACAAGACTTCGTAATCCATTAGCACTAGAGATTGGTCCAGGGCTCTGGATTTACTGGTCACGTGTACCAAGGAATAAAAATATGAGTGTACAGCTAGATTAATCTCCAGACCTGTACAGCATTCCAACCCACCGTGCATGCAGCAGTCTCATTCAAATTCACATATGAATATTAGCATCATTCTTAAAAGCTACCACTAATACCATCCCTACAGTACACGAAGAAAAAATTAAATGCTACCTGCATTACAACTCAGAAAGCATGGAGACACACAATAACTACTCCACTTCTCAGATTTTCCATTTGTTTCATAAATGGAACATAAGTACTGATGTTCTTATTAATACATCGACAACCCATATCTCCCCCAGCTATTTCTAAAAGGCAGGAATCACTTTCACTGCTCTTAATTTTGAATCAAAAGTCTTTAGCGAGTCCAAGCAGTTTAGCTCACCATCAAGTTCAATAAATCAGAGAAAAGAATCAATGGAAAGCATTTCAAAATGTAATCTTGGTAACGCACAAAAGCTTCCACAGAACTTATGGTCATTTGCTTTATTTGCTGCTTTAGAAATCAGAATATAACACACAGGCAGAAGGACACTAGCATCACGACATTGCATCTCCCGAGCCTAATGTTGCACGTGCTCTCCCAGAATGCACTTTCTGCAGTATGCTTTAAAAACCTGCAGCCTAGCAAGTTAGATGATTGAAAACTAATCATATTTCACGTTGACAAAATGGAAAATGGAAGTGTTCAATAGAAAATAATAATCCATATTTATTCTTTATGTCCATGCACAGCACTTTAAACCTAATTTGGTCCATGCTTTCCAGTGATAAAATGAAAATAAACTCAATGGTGATATACAGCATCTGCCATTTGAAGAATCAACATTTGTTAGTGTTACCACATGATTTTAACTGTGGTCCTACACAGTTCTTCTGCACGCAACACTTACATTGAAAATGGCTATTACTCTACGTACTGTTATATGGTATTTGTTGGCAAATACCGAGTTTTGAGTGGCAACATCATTATTCAATATTTATATAATTCTACCAGGATAAACAATCTCTGATTCATGTTGAGATAGAAAACTTCAAAATATTTTGCTGCTCATCTTAGCATACTATAACTAAGACGCTTACTAGTTCTTATCCCAGCCTGATCTGAAAGGCATACCATTATCCCCATAGCTCATAAAGCTCAAGCAGAAAAACCTTTGCTTTAGAATAGCCTCTCCTGGCACTGGGAAATGCCAAACAGAGGTGCAATGAAAGTGGATCATTCTCCACTCTTTGTACATCTTCCTAAAATGCCAAGGACAGCGTGATTTTGAGTAAAGATTCTGAACTTCTAAAGATTACACTCTCTAAACTTCTCCATTTTCCTCCTGGTTGTTTTTTGAGTGAAAAAGAGCATTTCTTTTTCAGCTTCACTACCTCTTGCTGCTTATCTCCTACTTGAATCAAGGATGACCTTCCAAAAGTGGCAGTTGCCTGCTACAATGGCACCCAGCCATCAAATGTTGTTCAATTTCACAAGTTAAATAAGCATCAGACATAAAGTTCTGCTAAGGAAATAAAAATAAAAGCAGGTTTTCCATTCATAGATTTCAAACCAATAAAGGAATATTCAGCATAATGATATTAATAAAGACCGTTTTATGGCAAGTACTCACAACATGGCTGCTTTTTAGGGGTTTTTTCTTCACAGTAAGCATCACAGGCCTGCATCAAACCATCAACTGTTCCAAAAAGGTCATCAAAAAAGCAGAGTTTGAGGATGAACTGGTTTCCTTTTCAACCCTACCTGAACCTACCCTTCCATCTGCAGTTACATGTAGAAGTCTGCCCAAGCTGAAAACTGAGTCTCCCTCGAGCTCTGTGCACACCAACAGATGAAGGCTGCCTCAAAAAAAAAAAAAAAAAAAAAAAATTCTACAACACGTAATCCACCAGGTCCAATGTTTTGTTACTTACAAGGCACAGCATGGCGATAAAGGTTATCTCGAATAGTCTGCTGTAGATCGTGATCTGGCGATCCTTTCTGAAACCTCTGGTTGAGATAATGTCTCAGGTCTTTGTTCAGTCTGCTTCCTGCAAAGAAAAAACAGCCATTTATTTATTTCTAAATGCACACAATTAACATTTCCAATTCAGGCAAATGTTAGACTTACATTCAGAGTCCCCTAAATTATGGCATGCTGACTTTATGAGCGGAGGCTCATCTTCCTCTACAAATGGCTAATTACCAAAAACAACTCGCTGTAAACAAGAGGTCTCTCTTGTCTCATAATGCATCTTTCTTCCTGGGGTGTTAAACAGATCATCATTCCACTTTATCACTTATTTGTCTGAGCAAATGGAGAAAGACAGCTGATGTGAAAAAGAAGAAAAATAATAAAGGTAGAGTATTGCTTCTGCAACTCACGGGGCCATTAGGGGTACTAATACAGCTGAACATGGCACAAAATCAAACAAGTGCTATAGGTTGCGCTGGTATCTACCCCAGCACACAGCAGGAGTCAGGAAAGAATTCATTGAAGGAGTTCAGAGCACCCAGAGTCCTTAAAAACAACAGAACAATACCCAACACTTTTCACTTAAATCTATTTACTTCTCCATTCAGTTTTGAACACTTTCAGAAGTGTGTGAGAATAAAGATAAATGAGTTGAAAACAAAACAAACAAACAAAAAAACAAAGAAAAAGAAACACAGTTGCTAATGAACAGTGCTAGTTGCTGAACACCAAACCCTTTCTTGTAGCAGAACATACGAACTGTAGCAACTTAATGAAGTCTTTTCACAGAAATGAAATATTTCCAAATCTGGAATAACATTGACATTAATTTGACTGAAGAGCAAAAACACCCCACAAGAACACACAGGGAACAGGGAGAGAAACTCTTCTGTTCTAAAAAGAAAAGAAAAAAAAAACACTGGAAAAAAAAACACACTGGAAAAACTCCAGCGAAATGCAACCAGGATGACTGAAGTCTGAAGCAGTTGCTGTACAAGGACCAAGAGAGCAGGCTGGGATGCTGCAGCCCGTTGGGGACATCGGTCTCCAACGTGCCCAGAGGGCGGGTGGGGACTGGCTGCCCCCTGCCTCTCCCAACACAAGGATTAGGAGACACCAACGAAAGCTTGGTTCGAAACCACACAACAGGGGCAGTAGTTCACACAGGCTGTGGCAGATCTTGCTGGAGAGCACTGTGGGTACAAGAAGCTTATTGAGGAGCTTCAAGGGGAAACTGAAAAAGCACTTGGAAGATGGACTCATCGGAGGTTGCAAAAGAGGGTATAGGAAGTCCCTTGAGCTGAAAATGAACTGCTGGTGGCTGGGAGATCTGGAAAAAGCAGCAGGGAATATCAAATATCTTGCTCTTTTCCTTTCCTTTGCTAGGCATCTTATTTATAGCCATGGCTGGAGCCAGAATGCTGGGCTACATGGACCTTGGGCTGAACCACTGCAGCTGTTTCTATAGTCTTTTATAATTTGCATTATGATTTTTTGGATTGTGACTATGTAATGCAGAGGTCATCTCAATACTTGTTGACACTGAACATAGCAGCACAGTTGCAGATTCCTGGCTGGAGCCTCCAGGAATCACTGCAGAACAAATCAAGAATAACAATACTGCAATGGAGTGCAGTTGGACACTGGGCCTGGGAGGCAGCAGCGGCACCAGACAAAAGAGAAAAAGAGTGTAGACCATTAAATGACCGTGGGCAGGAACAGCCTATCTGCCTAATGCAGTCCTGCAACATTTTAACAGATTTGTATTTAGGTTCTCCAGGCAGCTTTTTTTTTTTTTTTTTCCTTTTTTTAAGATTAAATTTCTTATTGAAGAAAGGAAGGCATAGGCAGCAAGCCCAGCTATGAAAGAAGGAAAAATTTTAAAGACCAAGATGCTCATTACAGAAATGGCTCAAACAACAAAAATTGAAATTAAGGCAGATAAAACTGGCTCATCACACTTTCCTGAGTTACCCCACCAACACCCCTCCCTCCAAGAGCAGATTATAAACCCATTTTCTAGCAAATGGTCTCCAGTTATTATACTATAAAAATGGTTTCCCACATAGGAGGCACTTGGAGGCCTTGGTAGACCTGTGGGCTACAGTTTTCCAGTTTCAGAGCTGACCTTCCAAACTCCGGGTGTTTGATTTCACACCACATCATTTTACTCCAGAGGGAGACTGGGCACAAAAAAAGAGCATCTGCTGAAACAATAAAGCATTTCTTTATCTTTTAACTAAACACTCCATATTTTTCTTTGCACAAGAGACAGTAAAACAAGGTGGTTTCTCATAGCAAAAAGAACAAATATGACAAACAGTTTGGACATAATGCAAGGGCTTATTCCAGTGAAGAAATTAATGCACTGAACTGCATGTATCACATAATGTGGGCTTTCTGCTGAAATATTGTGTGATTCATGATTCAATGATTTATGTCACAATAATGTCTAGAGGTGAAAAAGCTCTGCTGAGCTAGCTTCTGTTTGACCACAGAAAATATGCAATTTACTGATGATATCTGCTTTTAGCTTCCCTCTGGTGCCCATTCCATCTAGCATCTCAGTCTATTACAGCCCCCGCTGGAAAGTTTGGTTATTCGGTTTATGCAGTAGCTGGGATTTCCCAGCAGAGTCACTGATGCACTAGCCAAGATGGCAGTTGCAAAAATAGGGGCTATAGCAATACTTAGATTCATATCATTGTCCCCTGAGGGAGCTCACAGTGATGCTCATTTCTATTACATTTATTTTAAATAAGGAGAAAAAAAGATGGGGGGGGGGGGGGGGGGGGGACACACACACACCAAACACCCAAAACGCTTGCTAAGCCACATTTTTGTTGCTAAATTCCAGAAAATTCTTGATAGAAATACAGGCTTCTTGCAGCCCTGACGATCTCAGCTCAGCAGCTGCTGAGACCATAGCTGTGGACAACAGCAGGCTCACCCCATGCAACTCACTCCAGAGCACGGAAGAAGAAAATGAGCTAAACGCAGAAACTGACATCGTGTAGAAAGCTGCCAAAAGGATCCACCCTGGAACGTGCTAGATTCTTTATCTTTTGAAATGCTTTGATCCACTCTGATTATCTTTTCCAAAAATCTCAGACTTGAGAGGGCACATGCTTGATATTGGCATTATTTAGTAGATTCTAGTGCTAGACGCAAGTTTATAAACTCTGATAAATTCTTTTTGAGCCTGAAATGTATGCACCCGCAATTCCTGAGCATCTGAAAGATATGCCAGTGACATTTCAGCAACCTCCTGTGTGCAAATTGTAGCAATAAAATTCATTCTCATCCCCAGGGGCACCCCTGGCTTGCGCACGCTCCCTCTGAAAATGAGTCTCACCCTCTGATGGCTTCTGTCCACACACCAACCACCACCAGGCTGGGCTGAAGGGCAGGTGCCCAGAACCACCTGATTTTATGCAGAAGTCCTTCCTTTGTAAAGTCTAATTCCATGCATAAGTTGTGCTTGAGAAAATACCTGGCTCCAGTTTCCTTAGAGATGAGCTGTGTTAACTACAAGTATACTACTACCCTTCAAAATACTCCTCTGTTCTCAAGGAGACTGGATTTTACATTTACTCCTTTGAAATCCTTTCTTTTCTTCTCTGCTAAAAGCACGTAAAGAGATCCTACAGTGACAACAGCGGAGGAACAAAAGATGCAAGCCAGAAACAGCAGTTTCCAAACCAGAGGATACAGGTCTTATGAGCCAGTGCTCAGCTCTTTCTTCCTGCTGGCCACGATATGTTGCAAAAGCATTTATTTGCACACAGAAAAATCACCTTGTTATTTCTGTAATCAAAATTAGGCTGATATACCTAGCTTTAGAAAGTCAGACATTAAAAAATGCAAAAAAGAAATTCTTCCCTACTAAACTCACCAAAATTCATATTTTAAAGTTTTAGAAGTAAAACATGTTCAAAGACTGGGTTTTGTTGTTGCAACAGTTTCCTTCCTTTTTTTTCTGCTGAACAAAACCAATGCCTTTCTTTATGTGAAGATACAGTCAGAGAACCAACTTTCCACTGCTGCTGTCTCCATTGTACTACTCCAAATATGAGATATTTCCATCTTATTATCTGAATTTTTTCTTTATCTTTGAATGAAACGAAGGGTAACTCGCTGAATGGCTGTTTTTCTCAATTACTCTTAATTATTATACTGCATTTTAGAGTAGGTCAATTGTTCTCCCAAACCATTACATCATAACAACAATATTTTAGTAGCAAAAATAAACCCCAAAGGGGAAACAAAACATCTCTCATAAAAAAATATATATATATTACTGACATACAGTTTTCTGAGAAACAAACTGTGCTTGTCAATTTTGTGGAGATAAATATGTAACCTAGATATTTTTGTGTTTAATGAAAAATATTGACTGTTTCTAAATACACTTCTTTCAAATCCTCAATCCTCTGTCATTTATTTGTCCTCCAACAGTTACCTAATATTAAAGTTACTAGAGAAACTATGCTTTGAATTATGCTCTGACACTTATTGCTACAATTCCCAGTTTCTGCAGGGAAGAAAGCTGCATACCAGATCATCTAATGCTGTCTTTGCTGCGTAAGAACATCCATCTCTTCCACAGCGCTACCACCAGCGAGCAGCAGCCCAGACCTGGGGGGCTGCAAGCTTCTTGCCTTATTGACATGCGAGCTTCCAATAAGGAAAGCAGACTGCATAAATGGCCAAGTAAAATTTGAATTTTTTCAAGAAAAAGCTGAGCGTGAACATCGCAGGGCTGACAGCACCTTCTTGCCAGCTGGTAGATAGTCTATGCCAGAACTGTGCAATATGTATATTCTGAAGATGTATTTTGAACTCATGTTTTATGCATTTGGAAACCATCATTTTAGAGTTTATGTTTATATTAATTACTGCAGCTGGTTTATCCCATTTATGTTTTAAGATGGTCATAGATAATCCTGATAAATAGCTATACTCTGCCAGAGCGTATAGATGCTTGTGCGAAGATGTGTCAGGGTCAGGCCTGGGACACAGCGGTCTCTAACCTGTATTACACCCCTATAAGCAGGTTTACACTAGTGTATATTT